GGCTCTATTGTACGTGTAGCCTACTTTTCTTTTTTTTTTCTATGGAATCTAAAGTACAATAAAGTCAATTTCTCATCTTTTTTACATTATTATTTGATTTTCAATAAGTTAATTATATCGTAAGAAGTGTACGTAACTTCAATGCCATTATTCCTCTCGTTGTAGAGTCGTTCCAGTTTAATTTTTATAGCTGTAATCAGTAATATTATACTGCTAATTTCGGTTAACGTTGAGTTAATGCACTAGACAGTCGAGAAATTATGAAAAAAATGACAATTAAGTTACGCAATGTCTAGCATTGTGAGTAACAGATGCCATGATGACCAGGTTAAGGTTTATGTGGAGAAAGTAGTGATATTATACCATATACTAGTGTCAACTATCTCATAACTATCTCTTCGCTATTTTATGACCTAATTTCTGGCCTTATCTAACTGGAAACTTCATAGTTTTCATCATAATGAGCTATTTCAAAGGCTAGATTCATTGTTAAAAAATTATTATTGCATTTTTCATTCGCCTTTCTTAAAAAAATATTTTTAAAATTTTACTTAAAAATTAGCATTTTTAATGTTTTAAAAACAAAAAAATAATAATAAAGTTTTTCACTCGAAGATTGTTAAAGAAAAACTTAAAATAAGAGCAGCAATTTGGAGCTACAAACAATCAAATTACACGATAAAAAAAACATTGAAAAATACGATTAAAAAAATAATTTAATTTGATATTTACTGTAGACGATATTACAAATAGAAGGAAGATTATTTATGTTTTCAATTTCCTAACAATAGCAGTCTATCAAAGGAGAAATCTGATACAACATCAATAACGAAGTTTCTTGCAGTGGTAGAAGTGGTGCAGTTGATAGTTGAGGTGTTCATCTATCATTCGGACAGAAGTAATAGGTGAAGATAACAGTTGAATGGTCTCTATATCCATAGACAGCAGAAAATAGGACAGGTGACGTAATCAATAATGACTGAATAACACTTATAAACAGAGTTATCACATTCCTTGGAGGAAATATTTATATATCCATAAATAGTTTATTCTGACCTGTAATTTTTCCGCAGAGTGTTAAAAAAAATATATATATATATATCTGCTAAGTGGTAATTTTGGTATCGACGAAACTCGATCCGTGATATAAAGAAACTATGATTTTTCTCGAAAGAATTCCAAAAAAATAATTTTGGAACTTCTCACAACGTCTTAATCGCGTGCATTCTTGAAGTTTAAAGAACCAGGCATTAAATTAAATCTAGTTTTTTGACGTTATAATGATACTTAAGCGTTGTTTCTTTTCAAAAATCGACTATATTTTCTCGTAATCTAACCGTACTTATATCTGAAATTTAGAATTTTTAATGTTAAATATAGTAAATGTAAGAGTTATGGTAAAGATTTCTCATCCTTCCTCCATTTTTTCTTCTACTTCTTTCAAAATGGAGGATGTTACTGCAGAGTTTTAAAATGGAATAAAATAAATTATAATGATTCTAATTATCTTATCAAGGCTTTTTATATAATAAAAATGAAAATCGAATAACTTAATTAAGTAATTAAGGTAATTAATGCATTAAAAAATGCGTTGTATTGTTATAAAACAAGTAAAATAGAGTCATTAAAAGTCCGTTAATTAATAATAATTTAAAGTTTTTCTCATAAAAAATTTAAGAAAAATGACGAAATTTCCATTTTTTTATAACTTGATTTAATAACATTTGAATAGTTAAATAATATATAAAATATTTTATTAAAAATACTTAAAAATTAGCATTCAGTTCATCAAGAATATTAGCTTAAAGAAACAATATTTTAAATCAATTTGGAGGGAGAAAAATAATTGCAAATTCCTATCACGACTTTTAAACAATTGCCATTTACTAAAGTAAAGAATTTTATATAGCCATTAGAGAATAGCATAGTTATAAATCACCTTTAAAGTACGAAAAGGATACATAAACAAAATTTAACAATAACGAGATTCTCTAAGGCTTTACAACTTGACATACGCATTTTCTCTTTAAAAAATAATGATGATCAAGCGTTATGATTACATATTTCTCTCGATAATTACGGAAAATGACAAGTATGATATATAAAATGTTCAAAAGCATCAGGTAAGCGATCAAAATAAGAGAATGTTATCTTCATAACGCGACAAGAGACATCTAAGCATTTCAAACATCGCACGGATGCAGTTGCCATGGCAACTACACGATCCCAGATATATCTTTAGAAGTTTGTTTGTAATTATGCTTCTGTGCCATATGACGTTTATTTAAAAGCATTCCAATCTATTTCTAACTTTTATTTATCAAAATAAATCTATTATTTATAAAATTAACATCCCTAAAGAGTTAGAACAAATTATTTTACGTGTTAATCACAAATTTAATTCTTTTATCGCTAAAAGTAGAGAATATTTAGGTAAATTTTATTCTTATATTATTATCATTTGTAAGTTATATAAGGAAATATATATATGAGGTTGGCCCTCCTAGATAGGATAGAGCACTCTGTTATTGTCTATATGAATCATAGACGGTAGGACATTTGTTCCGTCATTTCTCTGGTTTTCCTGATAGAAATAGCACCGCCATTTGCACATCTCTATATCATTTTAGTAGAGGTAGTGTGACTGGTGTGATGTTTCTTCAATTTTCCAACACACAGAACTTTCGACTCTTAGATCATGCTTTGTGGGGAGGGTGACGAATGATTTTCAAACGTGGACAGTAATTTGTTTTGTCCTAGAATTTCTCTACAAGGTAACGTGTTTACCGAAATCATTTTACGTTTAGAATAGTAAAAAAACTTTTACTTATTTAATTTTAAACTACTAGATTATTTAGAAAGCATTAAGAATTCTAGAAAATAAAATTTTACTGTAAAAAAAAATTAGTTTTCTTTTTTTTTTTAAATTCACCGGAGAAACTGATACATAATGAACCTTATATTGATCAGTTGTAAATGAATTTGTACACGTTTAGAGATTCTTAACGAGTAAGAATATTTAAAAATTTAATCTATCTAAGCTATTTTTTTTAGAAAAAAAATGATCAAAAACCAATTATTTTCATCATCTAAATAACGGGTTACATTATACATAATGAAAATTAAAAATAAAAAAGAAAAGGAAATTCAAAGATGGCCTCGGGTTTTACTTAGGTAATTGGTTGTTATTTATTTTCTTTCTTTTTTTTTATAAATATTCCTCCGACTAGACCAAATTTTTAAAGTTTTAAATTATTAAAAATCGAATATTTTATTTATAAAAATTGTCAAATTTCAATATGAAAATTATATATTTTAATATAGGAAGTGCTATTAATTGTAATGAGCAAAATCAATTAACTGACAATTTCACATTCCAATTTAGTTACAAGCAACTGGTAAGTAGATAGAATATAAATTTTATGTATAATTATAATTAATTAGAAATTTACTCGATTGTAAATTCTATTAAAGCGAAACAAAAGGCATTCTTAACCTATTTGATATTATATTTAAACCCCTTTCAACCGTTGAAACTATAACATTGATCAAATAAAATTCTCTCTGTTACGCAAACTGAAACTGTATTCGACTGATTCAAGCATTAAATAATGCTTTAAAATCCATTAAAACTTTCGTAAAATAAATAAAAATTTACCTGAATATGAAGTTTAGTACACGCACCAGACATTTAAAAACAAAAAAAGAAATCAAGATCTTTGTAAGATAAATATATTTTACGCCATTCGATAACACGCATTACAAGTGGATTAACACTAGTAGGCCCTAGGCATAGATTATTGGGGCCCCTTGCATAATTTTACATTATAAAGTCTATTTATTTACCAATTATGATACGATTTCAACTGTAAAATTGCTTTATTTTATTTATTTATTTACAATTTCGGGCCTCCCCCGTAAAAGGGGCCTCTAGGCATGAACCAGTAGGCAATTCGGTATTTCATACAACACTTCGAGTGAAGAATTTAACAAAAAAAAAAATTTATATTCTGTAAAGAACCAATCAAGATATTGAACTTATTTGAAATTCAAATTATTGTTTTCAATTTTACACTAGAAGTTGCATTTAGTCAGATAAAAAAGTAAAATATATATATATATATATTTATTTAATTTTATAAATAAAAGTTATAAATGAAGAGAAATAATAAGAAAAATCAAAAAAGTAATAACATTTTTCTAATTTATAAGAAATAAAAAGCTAATAATTCACGAAAATCGTGTGTTTGTTTGAAAAAGTTTTAGTAGAAGTTGGTTAATTTTTTGGAACATCCATCAATTTCGATTGGTAAAATGCCACGAGAAACAGCTTAAGCTTGTTTACTACAAGTCCTTCTACTTCCACAACTAGACTAACATTAGCCAACATTATGTGATGGAGTTAGCATTAACCATCTGCGTGCACCGACCATTATTGGTTAGACCTTTCACGTCGAGTTTCTTAGACAAAAATATCACCAAATTTTATATGATTTACTTTATATCTAACATCAAATATTCCATGAATAATAAGCAGTAAGAATTTTATTTTATTTTATTTTATTTTATTTTTTTTCAAAATTGGTTCAAAGGCAATGACATTCTGTATTCAAATTCAAAGATGGAGCAGCATTTGGCATGAAATTTTTTAAATAAAAAATTATTTAATATGTAAAATTTAATTATAATTAGTTTATTTAAAAAGTTAAAGTGAATATTTTCGTTGTTAATTATTTTAAACTAATTTATTTCTTTATTTATTATTTTTTTTCGAACGTTTTTACTTTTGAAAATTGCTAAAAAGATAAGAAAATGGCGACTTTGTTCTGATCATGTCGCCATCTTTTGGTGTGTATCGATAATATTATTCTATAAAATATTTTTGAAAGATTTAACAATTTAAAACATTTAAATTATTTAATATATTTTAAAAAGTCGTTTAAAATATTTATTTCTTTTTAATTTAATTAATAAAACAATCGCTTTATATTGTTGATGAATTAAGCATTTTTAGTTTAAATTATTACGAAATTACGATTCAGTTTGTTGTGGAAACTTTCTTAACGTTATTCATTGACTGTACATTAAATTCTTGGCAGCATCTGCATTGAAAATGTCAGAGGAAATCGTAGAAAATATTAAAATTTTTTCAGATAATTCATTAGATAATGCTGAAATGGACGAAATTCTCGAGAATGACGAGAAAAACGAAGTCTACACACAAACTGAAGAAACTAGCATCGATGATGAACAAATGGTATTTCCAGAATATCAATTTGCATGCAAAAAACATAAGCTAACCCAATTCCCCCCTGAAGAAATCAAAGTAAATGTATCAGATAGCGACCATAAGGTAGCATTACTTCACCAAGCCATTAAGAAAAATAATGTTGATCTAGTAAGAGAGCTGTTAGATTCGGGAGTAGATCCCGATGCTCAAGATATTTCTACTGGTAAGCTTCCATTAATTGAAGCTACTAATAAAGGATACTCTAATATTGTTAAAGCCTTGCTGATTGCTCACGCCGATGTTAACCGCACAAATATTCAGGGTACGACGGCACTTCACGTGTCTGTAGATGCGAAAAATTTCAACAAAGAAATTCCTCAACTGTTCCTCGAGAGAAGGTATGCCAATTATAATATTCAAGATAAAGTACAGCAGAATACCCCATTGCATATATTGGCACGCTTAGTCGTTTCTATGAAGCATTCGAAACAGGAAACGATGCTGGATTTACTAGAAGATATGATCCCGCGTTGTGACTTAAATTTGAAGAATAAAAACGGAAATACCGCATTGCATATTCTGGCTCAAGGGAAAAGAGATGATGAGGATGCTGTTAGAATCTTTCTGAATAGAAAACCTGATATAAATTCTCAGAATCAACTCGGAGAAACACCATTGGCTACCGCTATCGATCACGGGAATTTGAAGATGGCCTCGATCATCTTGGATCACGATGTCGACTTAACAATTAGAGACAGATGCGAATATACTTTCCTACATTACGCTGCTAAAAAGAATGCGCCAAAAATTGTAAAAAAATTGTTGGAAAAGGGAGCTGATCCGAATGCTCAAGATCCCTACGGAGACACTGCTTTGCATATTGCAGCTGGAAGAGGATTTCACGAAGTAGTCTCTGAGCTGATCCAGAATCCCAATATAGAACTCGATAAACAGAACGAAGGTGGATATACTCCCTTGTTATGTGCAGTCGACAGTGGATTCCTGAAAGTAGTGAAGATAATGATCGAAGCTGGATGCGATCGTAATATAAAATCGAGAGATACAAATAAAACTATTATGGATATAGCGGAAGAACAAACAAAAAGAAACAAAAAAGATATATATAATTATTTAAAATCCTTGGAGAAAAAAGATTCTGAACATGAATCTAGTGTTGTTACTTCGTCTGAGTTGATTTCTGAACATGTATCAGTAACTAGAGCTGAGGCCCATACACCGAAGGAAGTATTGGATATTTTCTCGCCAGAAGATAAATTAGGTGCGATTTCACCACAAGATGAATTCGAGAAAGAAATAACTGTCGCAACTCCAGAGGATAAATCGGATATTATTTCACCAAAAGACGTATCTGGAGTTAGCACACCAAAAGAAACACTAGAACCACTCTTACAGACGGAAAAATCTGGTGAAAGCACTCCAAGGAAAAGTTTTGGCATTAGTTCACCAAAGGATAAATCCGGTGCTGCTTCACCAAAGGATAAATCCGGTGCTGCTTCACCAAAGGATAAATCTAGTGTTGCTTCACCAAAGGATAAATCCGGTGCTGCTTCACCAAAGGATAAATCCGGTGCTGCTTCGCCAAAGGATAAATCTAGTGTTGCTTCACCAAAGGATAAATGGTGCTGCTTCACCAAAGGATAAATCTAGTGTTGCTTCACCAAAATATAAATCCGGTGCTGCTTCACCAAAGGATAAATCTGGTGTTAGTTCACCAATAGCTAAATCAGGTGTTAGTTCACCAATAGATAAGTCAGGTGCTGCTGAGGCTGCTATACTAACAGAAAAGTCTGACGCTAGTAGTTTAAAATCCATTCCCCAAATCATCACACCAAAAGATAAATCTGGCACAGCTACACCGATAATGAAATCTGGTACTAGCAGTCCAAAAGACACAACTGGTATCATTACACCTAAAGATATTGCCGATATCTCAATACCAGAAGGTAAATCGGATACCACAACACTAGCAATAAAATCTGACACTATCTTTCTGGAAGATCTTTCCGACAAAGATGAACCACAGGATAAATCAGAGGATGAAACAAGGGTAGAAAAATCCGGTGCTAGTACTCCAAAGGATATTATCGAGCAAATCAGCTCCACCATAGATGTTCCCAGCATGGAGATAACTAAAGAAATATCTGATACAAACACTCCCATACGTGGATCTCGTGATGATTCAGGAAAAATCATTTCTGAAAATTGGGTGCCAATTGATTTCGAAACCGAAACTGTTCGACTTACTTCAGATATAGAGAAAGACGAAGAAGAATCAAGAGATGTAGAAGCAGAAAAAGAGCACGAAGATGAGAATATGCCAGAATAGAGACTTAATAAAATATTCGTACACGCATATTACTAATAAATTATATATATAACAATTATTAAAATTATAATAAGATAAATGCTATTCTAATTTCAGTAGATTCAAAATTATGATTTTAAATAAATTGTATGTTAATAATTTAAATTTTGAAAATTTTATATATATATATA